GAACCTGGACTTTTTTTCACAAAAATTCATATATTCTAGTGAGAAAATTTTTACTAAGAAATATAATGTAATTCACCAAAAGTAACAATTTTAAATGTCAAATAACTCTAGATGTTTTTAAGGGTAAAATATGTTAAAAAATGAATGAATAATAAAATAACAGGAGAATAATAGTAAAGTCCAAATGCCTTCAAGGTTATAATATTTTCCCAAGGTCATAATATTTAGATAAACTTCCTCAAATTATAATGAGTAATGTCATAACTGATGAACAACAGGAGAGAAAATTTATACAATTTTTATTTACGATATTAAAATATGAATAGGATACTTATTTTGGAGTTTTCAATATCAATAACAGATCTAGGCATAAAATATTTGTCTTACATTCATAACCATTTATGAAAAATATTTAATAGATAATATGTTTTTTTTTCTTAATTTGTTGGTTAATACATGTACTGCAAGACACTATATTCAAACTATATTCCCTAAAGTATTATTGTTTTTTTTTACTTTGGCATCTGAGTGTCTTTTTTTTTAAAAGTGTCAAAACTAATTATAATTAAGTCGTACATAAATATTAAAAATAATTTGTTCATAGTTTTCCACATATTCAATGTAATTAATCATACATCTAACTTATCTGTATTAAAAATGTTTTTTTTTTTTTTTACATTTAAATTTAAACAAGGTTAAACTTGATTCCCGGTATATATAAAAACAAACATGACATTAAAGCACTTCCAAAAGTACAGTAAAATCCTGATATAAAGTCAAAACTTGTAATGTGATATTTTTTTGATAAACATCACTGGTATTAAAAACTAATGTCCACGCAAAATTAGAAAATTTCAGAAAAAAGTCTTTAAAAAATTATTAAAGGAGCACTATATGTTTAAATGTTGTCTATTCATCACTTGGTAATAAAACGAACAAAATGCAGCAAAGTAAAACTAGTGGAATGAACCATATTTAGCCTGTTGCTCAGATCAAAAGTACTTGTTTTCATACTTCCACACTTTCCGGAACAAATATACAATCAAAGGTATGTTAGATTTTTCAGCATAAACCAGGATAAGGTAGGATTTTGACAAGAAATGACAGTCACTTTTTTAAACATCAAACAAATAAGCTATGAATGCTTGAAATTGCCAAATTTAACATAGAAAGTAATGGGGCTATGTATTAGTGGGTTTATATTATAGAAACATGGAATGAACAACAATAATACATCTAATAGATGTTGTCCATGATAATTATGTATGAATTAAGCATAGGTGTGCTATTGATACATACATATCATAAATATATTAATTTACCCATGGTACGTGTTATGTAAATTATTTCTGATGGCTACAGCTAATTTCGCTTTGTAATTGAAAACTTAACCAATTTTCATGAAGAACCATAATCTTATCAAGGGAGATGCAATTTACATGTACTTCTATATATAGGGTCAAATGTAAAAAACTTGCTCCAATATGGCAGTCATCATGGGTTCTTCAGTTGGAATCACCAAAAAAATTTCAAAGAGATGTTTAGCACAAACCTACAAAAATAAAAAAAAATATTGTAACATCTGGGAGAACAAAAACCAAAGCAGACCTTTAAACACACCAACTTTAAATGCCTGTTGGAGCTGAGTTTTTTTTAAACTAAATCCATGAACTGCTTTAGCCGGTTCAGTTTGCAAAAAGAAAATTAAAAACAAATCAATGAAAAAAAATGAAAAATAAGCGTTTTCTAATTTCTTTCAAAATATTTGAAACGCAACTTATATTCTCTTTGAAACATTTAGTCGTAGATTCATATTTAGACATCATCAGTAATTTCAAACTAAACATAAACGTGTGTTACTGATTCAGACTCAGCTCCACCTCAATACTAGGTCCTATCATTTGTACAAGGAACACAAATAAAACTGTATATAAAGATTTTACTGTAGCTACACATTTACACCATTATTTACAGTAAAAGCAGGTTACATTTATCTTTTGAAGATAATTTACAGCACTATAGATAAACAAAATAAATTACTGTACAAAAACAATCTATTTCATAGTTTTGCCATTCTTTCATACAAATATATATTACTTTTAAAATCAGACTGGAAAAGAAGACAAGTGTTATAACATGCCTGTGGTATAAAAAATCTTAAAAAAATCTGTGACATCATCAACTTTCTTAGATCTATAGCCTTTCTTCAAATAAATATTTGTTTATTCATACAACACAGCAAAATGACAACTACAATGTTAGCAGTTCTGTTTTTTTCGCCAATAAAACTCTAGACAACTAAACTTCATTCTAAGTTAAATTGAAGTTTCTGTGACTAATGTCCTGATTTTTCCATAAGATTTTTTGTTTACTGTTTTTGTTACACCTTGTCTAAAAACTCATGACTATTTCCCAATTTAGAGCAATCAGCCGATTTCAAAAGTAATATGTTGTTTAGGATCTAATATATAACTAGTGTATACATACAAGTGGTTATGTACAGAAATCATTTTGACTCATTTTCTAGTTGAACTCCATCAAAATGAGCTTCTGTAACATTCTATTAACATTGGATCCAATAATATATATAGAAATACAAAATTTATAACAAACATAAATAGCACTACATTGTATACAATAACAACCAAAAGTTTCAAAACTTCTATATATAGATGAACTATAAATAGAATATATAATGTCAAAGAAAATATTTTCAATAATAAATAACCTTAAGATGTTTAACATCAATACATATACTATTAACAAAGACAATTAACACAATGTTTTCTTTTAAGAACAACATGTACCTCTATCAGATAAAGGATTTACAATGGACATTTACAATATTTACAAAAAAGGGGGGGAGAATATACAAACAAACAATCATTTTTTGACTGCAACAAATTTGCTACTTTCCATAGTTTCGTCCAAGGTAACAATCATTATATACAAATCACATATGAACATAAAAAATGCAAAATTCTCCTTTTTAAGGAATAAAATATTAAAACAAAAAATATATGAGTAAATTTTATGAGAGAAATAGAATGTTTACAAAAAATTAGAAAGACAATCTTAATCATATGCTGCTACTTTAAAAGAGATCGTTAAATCTAGATCTGTTCAATATAAAAATATGAAAAGTTTAAAAGAAAATTCTAGCAAAGCATGTAAAATATAATTCAGTATTATAATCATCTAGTACAAAAATCTTTTATTCTACTGAAATCGTCTTTTAAGTTCTGTTAAGTCCACAAAACAATGATATTTGTACAGATTGCTTTAATATTCCTTGAAGGTACACAGACTTAATTAACCTATGGCATGCTTTTTTTTATTTATGGTAAGAGCCCTAATAGTATATTCCTTTTTTTTTTGCACTGATCAGTTGTTCGACTTATACTTAGATGAACTTGAAGACCAGCTGTTTCATTCATTTTATCAAATTATGGGGATTGTTTTAAAAAAAAAGCATATATATATATAAACATGTAATGGCAGTCATATAGAACACTATGTTTTGTATGTTTCTATGATGTAATATTTCGTTTTTTCAATCATTAAAAGTATTCTAAAGTTACTTTCATTTTTGTTTAGGAATGGGAAATGTTGCTCATTTATCATCTATCCTCCATCTAAGGGAGATAATAAATATCCTCACTTAAGATTTTAATCGAGGAAATAAAAAAGTATCCAATACTGTAAATTCAGAAATTATTGCGAAGTTTTTATTATTGCGATAAATGCGACAGGGTTATAATCGCAATAATTTAAACTCGCATTTTGAAATTTTTTATATGACTTAAACAGGATTTTTCTCAAAATCGCAAAAATTAAAATCGCATTTTAGTCTAAAATTACAAAATCGCAATAATAAATGCACGCAATAATTTCTGAATTTACAGTAATTAACTTTATTGGTACATATGACTAGTATAATTTCCATTTTATGGTGTTATCTGATCAGGCAATTCCCATTTGTTTTTTTAAACATATATCATAATAGGATTAAACACATTTTTTTCTGTAGTTCATTGGTGTGTAAACTGGACCAATTCACTCACAAACAAAATTGTGGTAATCCTAATATTCTTTTAACTTAAATAAATAAATCCGCAGATCCCAAGTATGCACGTGGAATCATCACGGGTAAGCAGTCATGTTATAGCAGAATGCATTGAGTGTGTAGGTAAAGGTAATATCTTTGGTTAGCTTGCTTGCTAGCTGAACCATGAAGTCATTATTAGGTTAGGTAAACTACCCTCTTTTAAGAGTAGACTAGTCCGACAGATAACCAATCTATATGTCTGTAGGACTAGACTACTCAGAAAGGAGGGTAGTATACCTAACCTAATAATAACTTCACGGTTCAGCTAACAAGCAAGCTAACCTAAGATTATACCTTTATCTACACACTCAATGCATTCTGCTATATTTATATTGATAATGATAGTAGTCTGGAAAAACAAGTTTGCCAAAAAAAAAAAAATCTGCCAAAATATCACTACCTGACAAGCTCTTCTAACCAATCATAGTAAGAGATTCCTATAATTATGCAAATCATATGAAAAATATTCATATATAAACTATTCCCTAAAATATATTAATAAAACTAAGCATCCATGCACTTATACAAATAAAAATATTAATAGATTGCACTTCAACTAGAGAAAAAAGACTCTGAACACTAACTTAAGTCCTATCTCGTAAAAACATTTTCAGTCCAAAACACCATTTATGTGTAATTCACGTTTGAATACATTAAATTTATTTTTAATTAATCTCTAAAACAAAAATTTTAAAAAAGATACTGTTTCACTCACTTGGTTGTGAAAGATATTATGTTTGAATCAGTAAACTATTCTTAAAAGGGGAACAAATTTAATAAAATGCTTCTCTGAGCGCAGCTGAATACGACCACAGAGGTCCAACCCTGAACAGTTGGGGCGAAAATGGACACAATATTCGCGCTTGAATATATGTATTGACCCCCCCCCCCCCTCCCCCCAAAAAAAGGGGCGTAACTCCTGGAAAAAAAATTGAATCGTAATTTCCTGTCGATATGCACATCTACATAGTATGTCCTTATTATCTGAAAAGGTTTCATGAAATTCTGTTGTGTGGTTTGAGAGGAGTTGCTATGACAAACTGTTGCAGTAGTACATTAAAGTAAATAAGTTCAAAGGGACGTAACTCCTAGAAAAATAATTGAATCGTAATTTCCTGTCGATATGCACAACTACATAGTATGTCCTTATTATCTAAAAAGGTTTCATGAAATTCTGTTGTGTGGTTTGAGAGGAGTTGCGATGACAAGAAACAGGACTAACGGACGGACGGACAGATGGATCAAAAACATTATACCCTCCCCAACTCATTGCATGGGATATAATTACATCATAAAAGTCTTAAATAGATAATTTAAAAGCAGTGTAAGGGAGGTAATCCAACATTGTACAATTTTGTTTTTCGATTACCTCCCTTAGACTGCTTTTAAATTGTCCATTAACCAGGAAACCCTTGTTTTTTCCCCTTTTATGCCCCTAATTCCTAAACGGTTTGAGCCATAACCTCCCAAAGCCAATCCTAACCATTCCTTTGTGATGTGGAAACTTGTGGTATAATTTCAGAGAGATCCATACACTTAAACACAAGTTATTGTCTGGAAGTTACAAAAATGCTTATTTTTGGCCCCTAATTCCTTAACTGTTGGTACCATAACCCCCAAAATCAATCCCAACCTTCCTTTTGTGGTATTGAACCTTATGGTAAAATTTCATAGAGATCCATTCACTTAAACTCAAGTTATTGTGCGTAAACCAATGTGTCTTCGGACGACGACGACGACGCCAATGTCATACCAATATACGACCGCAAAAAAATGTTTGCGGTCATATAAAAAGCCATCTCACAACAGTTTGGTGAAAACAGCTCTTTCACTGCAGAAAAAAAAGACCCTATTACAGAGTTAGATATCAAAACTCTGTTGTGATAACAAAGGCAACCATCTTAATAGGTGACAGGGGTCCTATAATAAATGTTAAAAGGAAGAACATTTATCAATATTTGGTCAAATCGGCTTTATTATAATAAAGGACCAATTATGGAACAATAAACTTTTTTCTGTTTTTAAGTAAGGGTTGCCTGCCAAGTTGGCTTAAGGTCGCAACATCTTTAAAATTTAATGCTCAATTCTTGTTCACAAGTTTAGAAGAAACTTACACGGTTACTCAAGAGGAAAACACATCTTAAGATGTTGGTGAATGATAAAACCATGGGATAGCAATATTTCAAACTGGTACTTTGAGCTAAATATGGTTACATATAATTTCACAATCAAACTTAAACACAAAGTCAATATCAGAAGCATTGCAGTAAAGATAATATTTCATCCACATGATGAGACTAGTACAGTTAGGAATACAATAAGTTTTAAACACAGTGCATGTATGTAAAATGTTTAAATTCTAATATACAATCTGATTATCACAATTATTTTACTTTCTTCATTTTTACCATTTCCTTATAAATTGGTGCAGATTTATTTAAAAAAATAATGTTTGTCTTTTTATGTCACGAAATACCATCTATTATAAGGGCCATGTGGCTCGATCCTCTTATATTTACATTATGGATTAAGGAACAAAGTGATATTGCTGTAGGTGCTGGAACTATTTGTTTCAAATTCTTTTTCTATCAATATTTGAAAACCGAAAATCCAATTAACTTAAAATTTTGATATTAGGTGATGCAGCCATATTTTTTTATTGATACCAGGGATCTAGAAATAATATCAACATAAAATCTACATTCAACAAATACTTTTTTCTATTCACATCATAACTTAATGATTGATTGATTGTTGTATGCTTAACATCTAGCAGGAAATATCTCATGCATAATTGAGGACAAGAATATAATTTATAAATTTAAGCTACTGCATAATTACATAAAATGTTCTGAACATAATTAAAACCTGCTGCTTTCCACAGACTATTTAATTTGTCTTGACATATGTACAGATAAATTCATAGGTTAATCCTTCTACCCTTTAAGATTATAACAAGATTAAAATTTTAGTTTCTAAACAAAACATTAAATTGAGCAATTTCATTGAACTGCAATTGTATTTTGTTTAAACAGCAAAAACTATACATAAACAATAACTTACCATTAAAAAAAGAATTTCTGTATTTTTTAGGTCATATTGACGACATGTGTATACTCATATGGTTGGACCATATGAGTATTATACTCGTTTGGTTATTAAGCAATTGACTACTTGTTTAACAGTTCGTTTAGAATTTCTTGAAGTTATTTTCCAAAGTTGACATATTGTGTTTCATAAGGACCAATCTATAGTGGCCATGTAAAAAACGACTTTCCTATAATTCTAACTACATAAAACTCGCTTCATTTCATTAATCATGTAACAATGATTACCATATGATTGAATAAAGAAACTCTAAACTTATGGGACACTTTTTCAAAGTTAATCATCATTTAATTATTAGCCCCATTCGCGTATGTCGGTACATATGGTCATGACCATACAGGTATGGTCCAAATACTCATATAGTCTGGAACATAACTGTAGAGTTAGGTATACCGTGTAATTCAAAGTATTAGCAAACAGGAAGAAGGTGTCTGACAAATCTTAAAAGTGCATACACATTAGATCTCATCACAGGCTAGCTGCTGAACAAATATAAATCATTCTGTTGAGTATTTCTTGAGAAAAGTGTGTTTTAACATATTGAAAAATTCAGAGTATAGGTTTACAAGAAGTAGGTGTCATAGAGATTTGAAAAGTGGTTTCATTAGTTTTAATAAATCAGCTTTATTTAGAGTCGGTATGGTTTTAACCGACATTACAGCTCAACACTGATAAAATAGATCTTCTTTTCTGAGTGGTTTCTAATAACAAATAATTAATTAGCATTTTTTAAACTGTTTGTGTTGACATGACTACATTCAGATATTTTTGCATATAAATACAAAAATAGATAAAATACTGACAGTTTAACAATGCTTGGTAAAAATAGCCTCATTTCAATATATTATCTAGTAGTTACAAAAATGGCACTGGCTACCATTACCCGCAAAAAGCAATAATAAGAAATAATTATTGTTACTATTGTGACTAATTGTTGAAATGTTTGTATTTTGTGTATAGCATCTTGATACTTTGCACTGTGTTTGTGTCATTGACCGTTATACGTTGTTTTACAAAAAAAATTTATATGAATAGAAAATTATTGTTTGAACATAGCAATGATAAATTGAAAGCACATTTATACATATTTAGAATTCTTTTAGCTTTTTTATTTTGGTGGCTATTCCTGCTCATTCAGTGTGTAAACTTAGGTAGCATTTTGAGGCCAATAATAATTATTTCTTATTGTTACTTTTTGAGGGTAATTGTAGCCAGTTCCTTGAAAAATATCAATGCTTGTTACCTACTTTACTTTTAAAATTTCATAAAAAATTATACAAATACATAAATAGTTTGAAATAGTTGGGTGAATTCTTTTTTTCACATGGGTTGCTGGCTGACAAAAGAAGAAGATGAAGAACTGATATGATTGGTTGCTTGTGGCATGTGATCAAATGTAGATCTTTGACTGCTGTGGTTGCTAGGTAGGCTACCATGACCATTTAGTTTGTTGAATTGTTGAATATCATTAATATAGCTGTTGGCTCTAGGAGACTGAGACCCTAGTGGTGGTCGTTGAAAAAAGTCCACCCTAGGGGAATCAAATGGCATCATAGGAGGGAAACTCAATCTTCCATTTCTATTTCTTGAATTATCTGCTAAGTTGACATTTGACCTATTGTTGACCTCTTGACCTCTGATCTGTGTATCTGCTGGTGACAGAGAAGATGTATTACTTGACACTAGATTCTGCTGATCACGACTCATCATTGCTCTAACGATTAGATTTTCTTCCGATAGTCTATAATTCTCTGGCTGCTGATCCTGCAGTCTGTCGTTTGCATTTTTATCAGGAAATCTAAAATCTGCTCTCTGTGTATCTAGTCGATCGGCAGATTGCCTGAAGTTGTCTGCTCTATGTAAATCACGTTCATCTAAACGTTTGTCACTGAACCTATAATTATCTCCCCTGTTATCAATTTCCATGCCTTCAGCGCCTTTGTTGTTGAATCTGAATTCATTGGTTTTTGTTTGATCGAATCTTTTGGCAACAGCAAGATGAGCGAATCTGGCAACTTCATCATTTCTTTGATGTAATGCCCTATCTAGTGGCGGAGAATTGGTAAATCTAAAGTTGTCTGCTCTTCTGTCATCCATTCTGTCACCAGAGTTCACATCACGTTCTTCTGATGTAAGATCTATAGTGCCAGACATACCATTGCTAGGTAATCGTGTAGGTTTTGGTTTGTGAATTCGGTTGATAAGATCAGACTGAACACCATCTATTGCCTTTAGATGAACATGCATCTATAAAAGAAAAAAGTGGATTTAAGTCACTGATTTTTTTCTCTGATCAAGACCAGTTTAAAATATATATCCATAGAACAAAAGTATTCAGTAAATTTTGTTTCCCACTATATTCAACTATTTCTTTAAAAAACAAACTAAAAAAAAAAGTGTGGAAAACTGATTTGCCGGACTGACGGATGGACAGACAGACAGACGGACAGAGTGCAAACCTAAAGTCCCCTTCGACTTTGTCGGTAGGGGACTAAAAACCATTGTATATACAGTGATGGTAAGCCTGTCATTATGACTTGTAGATTACGGACTAATGTTGCATCACCTCAAAATGTGACAAGAGTCCTTACAAATATTTATCTAATAAGTTACTTTTAATATGAGATGGAAGGTACATCAATAAGAATGGTTGTTTATTACAATTTTAAATAAAACTCAATTCTAAAATTAATTAAGTGTTGAAATTAAAAAAAAAAATCTATCTGAATACATCACATTTAAATCTGTTAAAGCAGAACTTTTTACAGTTTCTAGAAATTGTTGAGTTATAGCTTTATTTGCCTCTGCATTAACAATATTGTTATAATCTAATCACAATGAGTGGTTTTATAAATTAGCTGAGAATGAAAATTAATAAATACAAATAAAAATATCAATTGTAATATCTTTCAATCTACCAGAACGTATTGCTAAGTTGAATTAAAAGTTTTTACAATTCTTTGAACTTTATTATTTGTCATAAAATGTTTAACAGAAGCTTAAATTTTCTAAATTAAATTCCCAATTAACTAATTAATTCAACTGCTTGAATCTAAAATGGAACTAAAAAAAACTGAAATTCGCGCTGAGAATTTTTGAATTTAGTTTCTAGAAATGTTTTCAAGCTTTTGAAGTTGATAAGAATGTTTGAGCATAAGTCACTGAATCTATTTATACTCTATACTAATAAAGTTTTACACACAATTTTTCCTGCTTATTATTGTTATGTTCACAAAAATTCATTTAAAGTTGGCTACCAAGTCAACTGACTTCTTTTTTAACCAGAGTTATTTCCCTTATACTAGCAGAATATTTCTGCCTACCATCTGTTTATTGGTGGTACCTAATCCAAAGCTTACAGATAGCTTTTGCTTGATATATCTTTAAGTGGTGCTTTCTTTTGCCATCATGTAAGAGGTCAAAGTGCTCAATTTTTTTCATGATTCAACCAAATTCAAATTATTATATTGACCTTTTGACTTTAGGAAAGTTTTTATGAACATTTTTAATTTGTTTAAACCTCATTACAATCCAGTTAGAATCTTTGACAAGAGTTGCTTAAATATACTTCATGTTTTTTAATTGGGTTAGTCAAATAAGAAAACAAAGTTTATTTAACTTGTTTGCCCTCCAACATGGTATCAAGGGAAATAACTCCCATCTTGAAATAGATCATATGGAAAACTATCTATTAGTGTTACTCTCAATGCATTTATCCTGTTTGTTATTAGTGTCACTATCTATGCATTAATACAATGCCATAGTGAGTAGGTTTCCATTAGGGAAGTTCTTGGGATTAACCAATAAATTTTTTCAAGAATCAATAAAATATGTAAAAGAGTATATTCTACAATTAAAAGGAGCAAGGCTCTTACATTTGTCATTTCGGGCCTTTTATAGCTGACTATGCGGTATGGGTTTTACTCGTTGTTGAAGGCCGTACAGTGACCTATAGTTGTTAATGTCTGTGTCATTTGGTCTCTTGTCGAGAGTTGTCTCATTAGCAATCATACCACATCTTCTTATTTTTATATTGAAGATACTGGTAATGTGATTCACTGATCTGCACAAACAGAAAATTACTTTTTGTCAACAAACACAGCGATATTAAAAATATACCAATGCAATTTTCAATATTTTTAATGGCCACTAAGCACCTGAAGTAATGTGGAATATTTTTTATTAGTATTCCCTATCTATACATTGTAATTATTTTCTCAGCTTGAACATTATATTAAAACTGTCTGTTACATAGTATTTGATATTTATCATTAACTGTATATTTAAGTTAATATAGTACATGTTATATTTTCTACAGCAAATAAAAGATTTTGAACCAGGAAAGCCTACATTTTGCCTAATATTTGAGCTATGTAAAATATCCCAATCAAAATAATGACATTCTATAGTTTCAAAATAGACTAAATCAGACATAAATTTGCCTACATTTTTCTTTAGACAGTGTTAATACATATAGCTTTAAATATTCTTTTGATTCACCATGACCTTATAAAATCTTCTTCTACTTTTCCCCCATTGTGAACATATAAGATTAAACACTTGGTTTCCCCTAAGCATATGATATCTCAAACTACATTTGTCTCAACTTCAACATATATTTGACTCACTTTTGAGTATTTGAGGTTACTTTTGGCTCATCTTGAACGCCTTCAGATTAAATTTTGCAATTTTAAGACCTGATTGCAATTAATTAATTTGCAACTTCTTTTAACTCACCTTGACCATATGAGATTTGAGACTACTTTGTTGGTATATGCCCTATGACAGATCATGCATTAGAATTGTTTGGTCTGAGATCAGATATTTTTCATTATATGCCTTATGACAGATCATGCATTGGAAATGTTTGGTTTGAGACTTTTTGAGATGTCTGACTCACCTTGAGCATATGAGATTTGAGACTACTTTCGTTGGTATATGCCCTATGACAGATCATGCATTGGAATTGTTTGGTCTGAGACTTTTTGAGATGTTCGTCATGGTTTCTCATATGATGATGGAGATTAGCCATTTGAGCAAAGGCTCTGTCACAACCTTCAAATGAACACCGGTATGGTTTCTCTCCTGAAAAATAGCAAAAATACATACTGTAAATAGTTTATCCTTGTGGGGATTAAGTCTTGTGATTTGAAAGTCCAAACATCATTCAGCAAGGCTTAATTTTTGCCTTTTTTGTTCCTGACTTTTGCCTTTCTTAAAGATCAATTTTACATGAGAGAATATTTACGTTTTTTTTGTTATCTTATTCATGAACTTAGTGAAAATTTCTCTATAACAGGCTATTATTTGAACTTGGAATTATTTTTAATTATGGAATTTGCATAATTTCTTGTGCTTGAATTTTTTGATAAAATCCTTGTTTATTTGTTATTATAATGTTTTGAGTGGTTCATAACACTTTCCATAAAATGTATTTTGTATAGATAGTGTTGTGCGCGGCACAATACATTCTTTGGAAATGTACTATCTTCTGTGTAATAGAAAGTGTTGTGCACAGCACAGAACATTAAAGTACAGAATAAACATGGAATTTATTAAAAATTTCCAGCACAAGAAATTATGCAAATTCCATAATTAAAAATAACTCCAAGTTCAAATAATAGCCTGTTCTATACTTAACAGTATAAATATTGCATTATTATTGAAATTGTGGATTTTGTGGCGAAAGATATAGGAGAGAGGTTGCTCAAAAGGTTTTTACACAATATCATAATATATTAAGTTGCAAAAATACAACTGAAAACCTTATAAAAATAAGGAGATATGGTATGATTGCCAATGAGACAACTATCCACCCAAGTTCAAATGAAGTGGATATATGCAAGTATAGGCAACCATACGACCTTCAACAATGAGAAAACCCCATATCTTATAGTCGGCTATAAAAGGCCACAACATGTAAAATATGAAACAATTCAATTGAGAAAACCTTAGCCTAGTTGTTTAAAATTTACTTATGCTAAATGCATAATTAAATTAACAAATGAACCATCATTATCAAATTGTTGTATACATATTGGCATTTACAGAATGTGTGTGACCCCCATGGATAGCCGAAGTCATTTGAAACCCTCTGGTAGTATAAGCAAGTGAGTGTACCTTAAAAAGATTAATTGAACTCCTGTATCAGAATTAAATACCTAGATATGTCATTGCTTCCAGAAATACTAAATAAAAAATGTCTTCTGTAAGGATAACTTAATTTAACCAATTCAAAACTGAATATTTCAAGCTGGAACATGAGATATTCATGGAATGCAGATTAAATAGGACACCAATGCACTTATATTCAGAGACTGTTCATATATTGTCTCCATCTCAACCAAAAACAATAGACTACCATTATTATATTTACAAAGCTAGTCAATTATAACAAAAAAACCTGTGTATTCCTCAATTCATGAAAACAATTGATTCAAAGAATTCAAAGAATCAATCATTTATATACCGAAATTATTCCAGTAATCCAACCATGTGGTAATAAAAATTTGGAGTATGATTATCGAACTAAGTAATCAAACAATCAAAATACAGGATCTGGTGCTTTGAACATAAATTTTGTACTCCTAGTACTGAGTATTAAAAGTTTTATGACTGAACGGTTGGACTTATCAAGTTTAATCAATTGTTGAAAGAGACTCATCCATGAATTTGATGAAAGATAATTTAGCCCTGATTCTGGAATATAAATAGAAACATTAAAGAACATTCCTTCTTGAATTATTAATCACATGATCTATCCGCAAATTCCAAAGCTGAATTAATTTTTTTTTAATGTAAGAGTTATCTCCCATTTAACATATGATCTGAAACATACTTTGATTCACTGATGATGATTAATGTTTGAGATGTAACAAAATGTACATGCAGGAAAATGACATGTTAATGTGGTATGAAGACATCCGGCTATTTAGTAGTAGATGGAAACATTGAGTGGTAGTTTTAATGTCCTAGCTCACACTCAGAACACATGTTAATTACCCTACACTGTCACTCTATCCTGGCTCAAAGTGTAATGGTATTTGCTCTTAATCCTATGTGGTGCATGCTTGGTGCAGACACAGCAAATGTCATTTTTAGAGTTTTTGGTTTGACCCAAGCAATGATTGAATCAGTATCCTCCAACTTTCAAGGTGTGCATGTAAAATTTCCCCAAAAGATCATATTTAATGTTATTTACACATTTTTTTAGGCCTCAGTGACTGCACTGTCTAGGTAGATCATCTACAGTGATCACTAGCCCTTGCTGGTGGCTTAGGTGTGTTTGACTTGGATCTTAATTAACAAGGTTTCCTGCCAAAGGTTGTGGTTCATTTCAGGTACTCTGGCTTCCTCTATAACAGTTACCTTGATAAAGTCAAGGTTGGTGTAAGTGACATTAATCACCAACAATATAAAAGTAAGTGATGTGGTATGATTGCCAATGACACAACTCTCCACCTGAGACCAAATGATGAAGAAGTAAACAACTATAGGTCATGTACTGCCTTCAACAATGAGTAAAACCCAAACCGCCAAGTAAGCTGTAAACGGCCAGGCAATGACAAATGTCAAACAATTCAAACGAGAAAACTAACAGCCTGATTTATGTACAAAACAATAAACAAATAATAATATGATATACAGCAACAGAATACAACCACTGAATTACAGGCTCCTAAGCCAAAGAGTGTGCCCTCTCTGTGACTCTATGGATATCGGTGACGAATACCACTATATTATGTCATGTAGTCATGTAGCTACTTTAATAATGCAAGACAAAATCTGCTTCCCCCTTTTTGTCATGAAAATGTTAACATTTATAAGTTTGAACAGCTATTTTCTTCCAACAATGTAATAATATTAAAAAACTGTGTAAATTTATTAACAACGTCTAAGAGAAGGTCGTTCCTCCAGGTTAGAACTTTTTAGTATTACTTTATACATGTAAATGTAATTCACACATGCACTATAAGTTTGTATATTGTTAATATGTATATGTTCTCTGTAACAATTGTTTTAAGAGAATAAAGTATTCATTTATTCATGATTTGGGACAGAGACATACAGAATGAGGCAAGGTTAAACATGTTTGCTGGTGCCAAACCCTCTCCCATCTTAGGACAGTAGTGTAACAGTACAACATAAGAACAAACTATAAAAATCAGATTGATACAAAGCACAAAAAATCTAACAAAAACATAAAAGAAACAAAGTACAGATCTGATAGTACTAATGATTGTTTGGTATTTAAATAAATATTGCCTAGGAGAGACAGCTTGCTTCGGATGAGTGTACCTAATATTTATGTAAGTTCTGTATGAGCAATTTTGGTCTGAACAGCTGTTATTTTTCAAAATTGCTTTGTTTTATTCAAAATGAAATAAATTTAAATATAATTTGTTAGTATTGTAGATTTAATTTTGGTTGTAACATATTTTTCTATGCAATGAAAACTAATGGGTTGGAAACAATAATAAAAAAACTACTTCTGTATTAATATAGCTGGTTCCAAATTCGTGTCTCTATCGGGGAGATATTGAATATTACAAATATATAAAGTTGGACTAATGTTTTCATTATAAATTTCTACAATCAATTTATTTCCAGAATTCAAAATTCTTCCAAATTCAAATAATTTCTTGTTTTATATGATTTTCCATTAAACTTGAGTTTTTAGGTATAACTTTAAGGAGAACTTCTAGTATATTACATTGTCTATTTTGCACAACACAACCTGTTTCGACAATGACAGTTTATTTCTCATACCAAGAACAAAAACTCTTTTCATGACAAAAAAAGAAGAAAGTAACTTTCAAACTTTCAAAGAAAAATGTGATTCAATTTTAATGTTTTAATTTTTTGAACAAATTCAAATTATCAATTATATTTCCAATTTTAGATTTATTTGTAAAATTCCTTAGGTTAGACAAACTAGATCCCTGCCTATACAAAGTCTATGGCACATGCATGGTGTAGAATTATACAATAACTTTCTCATTGTTTGTGCATCAGTCATATATGGTAAAGAATATTGGAAAATAGAAGGTAACGGTATGAAAATCCTCAACAGCTTCTGTACATAAAGACTAGAGCTCCTTGCATATACGGTTTGCATGTATATTGACAGGGATACAGTCTGAAATAACTTAGAAGTCCTCCCTTTGTTAAAAATTGAAGTTGGTATTTTTCAAAATAAGAATATTTTGACTTCTCAAAATGGCATGTTATACGTTATTTACAACTGATTTGTTGTTTTAAGTTTACAAGAAATTATTCAAAAGCTCATCTGACATCATAATGGCCACATGAAATTAAAAGGATATGTTAAGTCATGAAAGATTGATTTTGATTTTTGGTGTTTTAACATCACTTTTAAGCACCGCTTTTGGGCTATTTCGTGGCGGCCAGTTTTTATTGGTGGAGGAAGCTGGAGTGCCCAGAGAAAACCACCGACCTTCGATTATGGAAAAAGTCATGAAAGAACAAAAACATAGGGTATCTGAACTCCATAAATTACAATATATTTTATTTAATTGGCTTATCACCGTATATAGTACCTTCTATAAAAAAATTTCCATCAATCTTTTCAAGTTGACATTTTGAAAAACAAATAATTGTCAATTAAGACTCACTTTGCAATTCCAAGGGCTTATGAATATTGAAAAAGGGTATCAACAAGTAAGTGGTACATTGTACAATCAAGTTAACAAAATGTGTAATTTTTAGCTAATCTTTTTTAAAAGGTAATGTACAGTCATAATGACTTTACATATTAAAAAGGCATAACCTTATTTCAAATTTTAAGGTAATCAGGAAATGAAGGTGTTTTACCAAGGCAATATGAATAATTATGGGATATTTATATAGAAATGAGGTGAAATTACCCATATGACATGATTATAGTTATATGATATTTATAAAAACCATCCTTAGCTGGAAAATGGTTCTCCATTTCCAATTCTTATTCTAATCAAACATCAGAGGTGGATTTACAGGGTGGATGGGTGGGGAGGGTATCAGGCCCCCATTATAGAGCTACATATATGGTTAATGCATAGACTTTTTACATGTCCCATTCTTAA